ATAATAAGCATGTGGAATCCTTAAAAGAAATCTCTAATCAGAATTTCAAAAAAAGAATATAAAAGAGAAATATAGGGCCGACACACACACACAAAAAAAAAAAAAATACTAACCCGAAACTATATATCTAATAGCTTTATTGGTCAAAAATAAAACCATTAGTAAGAAAAAATATTTTAGACGTCTCCCATAGAGTAGATGTTTATTGCCACAGATAACGCATTCTACTACTGTTACACGAGCAAAGAGTTACTGATTATCTACAAGATCTTTCAGAGTTACACAGATAATATTCTCAGAAGACAATGTTACCTCCTATTAAACGTTGGAAAACGACGGAGATAAAATGCAGACGAGATGTAAGAAGATATAGTCATTTGCATAAATAGCTGGCGAACAAGGAAGAACATCCTTAATCTCTGTTGGGGTTTCGAAGATTAAAAAAAAAATTGTGGAACATTTAGATTGACGTCAAAAGTAAAGGAATGAATAAAAGTGGAATGAGTGTAGTTGAATTTAAATACGAATCGTTGTGAAATTAATTTTATATGTATAGCCCACAAAGCAATAGTGATAATAACAGAGCGATTAATTAAAAAAAAGTAACAGTTTCTTTGGAAAAAATAGGAGCAGATTAATATAAAAAATCGTAATCAGCGATTTGTCTGAACAAAAATTAGTGCCATCTAGCTCATCCTCAATTTCCTTCTTCCATTTCATACAACCCAATTATTGATTAATGAAATAATTCAAACAATTATTTATTAAAAATATTTATTTTTGGCAGTTCAATTTTCCTTGAAATTATAAAAAATAAAATAAATAATAATAAACCCCTTAGATAAATTGCTTGAAAAGAGATATAACATAAATATATATTGCGGCTATTCATCCTATTCTATAGCTGTTTCTTAAAGGGACCAATTTTCTAATTCTAAAGTCTAAATAATAGTAACCAGGTCGGTAAGAAACATGTGTATTCAATACGTAGAGAAGTTCTGAACTTAATAGTGCTGCTACACTTAAGCACTTACTAGACAAACTCTCTAAGCTTCCAGTCATCTAAAAAAGGATCGAACGAGTATACATTATTATAAGGCCCATTTAGACTTGGAGTTGCGCTTTCGTAGTCCACTAAACCATCGAATTTCTTTTGAAACCAGACCTTAGTAAAATTTTCAATGCTCCTTACTTCGTCACATTTGAAACAATAATGACCTTAATGTTCCATATGTTGCCGATTTGGCCAATACCAGATACCTATCCTTCCAAAATAAATGTCAGTACCATGCATACTTTTTTGTTTCTAACCTCAAAGATGAAAGGTCCTTCGATTTCTGATAACCCTCCAAGGAGTCTGAAAAGAAGGTGGCAATGGGACTTCCTAATGTAAAACTTCTATTAGACTGCTACTAATGGGGTAGTTTCTCTACAATTTGTTTTTTATATCTTATAAGAGAAGTCTGTTTGTTGGTTGTATTTTATTATAGTTGTAAGTTTCATGAATAAAAAAATGTATTCCCTCCTCTCTACAATTTTCAGGTGGACTGATTTCAGGAAATTGGTGGTTAAATCTAGGTCCTTGCTCAGACAAAGCCCATAAATGTTTTTCCCATTACGAATTTTAAGAAAATATTTGTATGTGTGTGTAGGATATATTTCGGGATTTAAGTATTTAAGCAATGAAGATTTGAAAATCAAACTCAAGTTATTTATAATATCTTAAGCTTCCTGTGATGCGAATCATAAAAAATTTTATTCACTTTGTTTTCCTATAAATTAATGTATAAGAAATGAAAAACATATGGAGAAAATATGGAAGCCAAGATAAATATTTTGAAAGAAATCGAAAAAATATCGTTGAGGTGTTATGGATATTTAAAAAAATGTCTAATTGGAATTGCCTAGAGAGGTTTAGTTTTGCGAAACTAACAAAAGAAGACGAAGTCGTTCCAGAATAACGTGGAATTAGCAAAAAGAAGATTCGATGATGTGGTATAGTTTTCGAGTAGAATAGATCTCAGACAAAAAAAAAATGGAAGAAGGCCCTAGGAAATGTATAGTTTAAGAAAACCCCTCGTTGAGTGGGAACATCATAAACAAAAATAGATAATAAATTAATGTAAACAATAAGCATTTTTATTAACAATTATTAACATGACATTATTAAGGTTTTATGTATTACTTACTTTAAACATGTTCATGATGAATATTATACATGACAGATAATGTTATACCAATAAGGAATGGTGTACACAACACCAAAACTGACTCCAAACTACAGACATATCCCTGACATTATTGGGTTATTGATATAGTCTGATAATTTTATTTTTTATTTAATACTATTAATTACAATTTGCAAAGATAAATTATTTTAATTTAAAACGAACTATTCATGTGAAGAATTTTATCGAAGACGTTTTTTGAGCCTGCATCTACTGAAGAAGTTGAAAAGGTGAAGTTGTTGGCCTAAAAGGAATAGACCACCTTGTGTTGTGTTGTGCTGGTAATACATAAAGAAAGATATGACGATTTACTATGGTGGATTCTGTTGGAAGGTCGGACACACATTGCTTTAATATTAACGCCAACAAACATTGTATCTGTCTTCTGTCGAGGTTTACAGGATGTCCTTGGGCTTTAGGATTGTCATGGAACACGAGTAATATTTTCAACAAACAGAACCTTCATAATCGGCTTTCCCCAGGACATCGAACTAAATCAAACAAAACCCCAAAGAGTTTTTGAGCTACCTGGCCGGACCTAGCTTTCCTGGTTCTATTGGCGCAGCTGAGATTGGCCTGCCGATATAAATGAATCACTCTTTTACAGCACTTTTAAATCTTAATATCCATACATATAATTTATTTTTAAGATGATTGATAATGTTTTCACATTTTTTTTCTTCAATTTATGTCTTCATATATTCAATTGATTCCAGCTAAGTTTTTCTGAACTTTGGATAAGACCCATTTTAGTGACTTGAAAAAACACTGTTTAGTTCACTAGATCATACACACATATCAAATTAACAAAATACGTATTTATCTATTTACTGTTTGGATTTGTTTTTTTGTTTTTTTGTTGTTTGGATCTACTAAGTATTGAATTATATACTTATATATTCATATCCTTTATCACAATTTAATCATTATTATTTATGTAAAACTGTATAACAAACATCAAACATCGATTTAAATTTTTATTTATAAATCAGGTATTATTTTTTAAATTAAATATCAACTACTATAATCATTACATGAATTTATGAAAAAAATAATTATCGATTTCAAATCCTACGATTTAACTGAATAACATCAGGTTTTATTTTATTATAAGAAAAACGGGATTCAAGGGAAATTTAAACATAACATTTTTCTAAGAAACATGAGAAACCATCATTTGGACATTTTATTTTAGCAAATATCATTGCATAGGGTAGACAAGGCAATTAATTACAGTGATGAATAAACAGCTATCAATTTATTGCAAAGTATTTAATTATATAAATTCCCTTTTCGCCTTATATATATTATTATGTATTCACAGTTATTCACATTATACTGACAATCGTATTTATATTTTAGACAAATGTATTTTTTTTCTCAATTGTTATTTTGGGATGAGAAAAATCATTCATTTGTCCTCCGCTAGTGTTATTCAACACGTAGATACGTAAATATTTATGTCTGAGACTACTATGCGTTAAAAAAGAATAACAAGAAATTAAGCTTAAATTTTTTATTGATATAGTTTTTTTTTTATTGAAGAAAAGTAATACAATCTGCCACAATCTAGGGAATCGAGCATTATGGCTCTGTGTTTACATTCAGACGTTTTATATACAATTTAAAACATAAATTGAGAAAAAATAAAAATACAATAAGAAGAAAACATGTAAGTAAAAATATATATACATTAAAATAAAAGAAGAAAAAACCTTTATTAATATAGTAGGATTATAAATATTATAATAATCAAAAATCAGGATTTTTTTTTTTAAATTTCGTTAATCAAAGGCAGTAGTGGATCCAGGATTTAATTTTGGAGGATTGGACTTTATTATTTTTTTAAACCCTAATTACTCGATAAATGAGGGACAAAAAAATAAAAATAAAACCTGTGTACAGGAACACTATTACTTTTAGGCATATTTTTAAAAATATTTTTTCTTGACACTTTCTAACATACATGCGTTATAACTTAAAAAGAGAAAATATAGTGATTGTTTCAGAATATTCACAGATACAAATAGGGACCGACCAATGAAAAAATATATATATATATAAAATATATATAATGGGTACATTATTGTTATTCTGAAGGGACTTAGTCCCAGAATAAAGTTTTTTTTTCTATCTATCTATCTATCTATATTTGGGGGCTTCACCGCGAAAGCCTCCGGTTGATCAGTCAGTGGTTAAAAAAACTTATTATTTCCATAATTTCTGTTGTTTTCTGATAACCAACAATTACTGGACATTACTCAAAGACAATTAGAAATGACACTGAATTGTACAGGTGAATAATAAAAATGGTAAATTATTGTAGGTTATATAATAGAAACTTACGAGTTTAGAATTATAAAATGCCCTTGATTTAAATTATTGTATCGTTTGCCTCAGGTTAAAGCAAGGAATGATATATTCTGAGTGAACTGTAATAATTATTATTTCTATCCGAAATATTACTAAAAATCATCTATCAATATGAAGCATTGAACATATTCCTAACAATCGCTATATATTTAACTAATTGGTTAATTATTGTTTTGTCTCGTCAGATTTTAACTAACATAAATTACATCTTTTTCGATTTTTTTTTTTCTCCCACCTAACTGTCTCCACCGAGGCAGTTATTTACACTCCTTATAAAAGCTGGTTCCGATTGAAAAAGATAAAAAACTGAAAGAACGGAGCTAAGGGCCATTATGTTTTAATTATCAATAAGCGGCAAAGTGATTATAGCGAGCCAGGAGTGATTCTGAGCGCTCGTTAATGAGTGGGAGGTGCGACTTGGGCAAGATTTGTGGTCGAGTCCTAATGTCCAGCCACCTTCATCTGCATTCTCTCTCAGGTTAGGTGTTAATGTCTATTTATTATTTATGTTATTTAAAATATGTATTCTATGTAGTTTAGCAGAAAATAAAAGGGAAAATAATTATACTATGAGTATTAAGTAGAGAGTATGGATGATTGTGATAAGAGTTAGCAATATTTCCAAAGTATTAAAATAAATATGGTGAAAATGCACTAAATTTATTTAGTAATTTAATCCAATTTTTTTTTAAGTTATTAAACAAAAAATAAATTATTTTTAGAATAAAACATAGAAACAGAATTATGGGCTTTAGAGCATCAGAACTAAATAAAAAAGAATACACAAATAGAAATAATAATAAATTGTAAGTTACCATTCAAGACTTAATTTTAGACTAGTAAGAGGAAAACATACCTAAAAGCCCCCAATCTTAGGCGTTGAGTTAGATGTGGAGAGGGGGGGGGGGACGCCTAGTAGGTCACTTTTTTTGGGTTTTCGCTTATATCAGGAAAACTATACATCGCATAGACAAAGAAGTCCTATACAAAATTAAAGCTTATAAAATTTTCAATATGTTTTATCCTATACTTTTTATCGCTACCTCCCTTAGTTTCCGACATATCTGTCCTCAACTATAGCTAATTTTGAAAAAACAAATTGCCTCCTGTTTATTGCTGTTTTTCGGGTTTTCGCTCATATCAAGAAAACTATCCATCGCCTCGACAAAGACGTTCTAAACAAACAAAAGCTGATAAAATTTCAGCAAATATATGCTCTCAGAATAAATTACATTTACTTATTTTCATTTGTTCACGGATCAATACACTATGCGAATTATTCGCATGGAAAACTTTTATTTAAATTATTATCATTTTGTTTTTAAAAAAACATAATTAAAATAATTAAAGAAGATTATAAAATAAAGGGTCAGTCATGTAACAAGTTTTGTTCTAAATGCTTAAGAGGGAAACAAAGTAACTCCAGAACTATATATTTGGACAAAACTATTGGAAAATGATAAAGAACTATAGATTACAAGTGTTTATTTGTTTAATTAAAACTACGGGCAATAAGTGAGGAGAAAATAGCTATTTTTTATTATTATTTATAAAAAATAAAATTCACGAATCTTGCTGTCCACAAAATTCTGCCGTCCGGGGAAAGTGCACATTTTGCCTCCCACTTAGATCCGGTCATATATCTTTGCAATCATCAAATTAAACATTTTCACCTAAACTTAAGCTGTAATGTTAGCCTTAAATTAGATAATAAATACCATCGAAAGGCATAAGGAAAAGAATATCAAAATAGATGAATCAGCGTAATAAGGTGTGAGATGCAGGGCGAACAATTTCGAAGGAGATTTGTATTTACATAAGCCATGACGGCCCCAGGCGAGTGCATGTTGGCAAGTGTTGGGACTTGTTCCACCAGCGATGGTTGCCAAAAGGCCCTGAATTACTACAACCCGGATCTTGTCCATTTATGGTATTGAATTTCATTTATATTCATAAGAGGTCATTTAAACTGACCGAAATTTTATGGCAAAATATATCCTGAGCATTAATTAAGGTCGATTCAACATTCGCTGAATTAATAGCCATCGATAGAAATAAAAAACAAAACATCGAACACTACTGCATTATTCATCGAGTTAAAAGGGCTGAATTTATTCATTGCTTGCATTAAACTAGAACCATTAGAAAATTAATTACTGATACAGTGCAATGATGGTACTTGGGTCGTAGAAACCAGACACTATTTAAAGAGAGTACGTCATTTTAGAATTGGAATGCGTTACATAAAAAATTTGCAATCAAAGTAGATTATTTTGAATAATAAAAGCATTATTTCCAAATTTTAATATAAAAAAAAATTAAAACTGAATTTAATCCTAATAGTCCATTACATGAACACGACAAAACAAACAATAATTTGTTTAATATATATTTAGAATAGTTCACTATACTAGAAGAAACAATGACGAACAAATGAATTTTTTATTCTTATTTAGCTGTTTTATAATATACTATAAAAATGAACTTATAATATGTTTATTTATATATTAGTTGTTTATAATAAAATTTATTTTGAGATATCAAAAGGTGGGGAAAAAATAAACAGGCAGCTTAGTTGAAGTTGAACCTCCTTGACTTCTTTTTTATAGTGCTTAATAAAACCGGTTATAAATGCCTTGATTACAATTCAAATGGAATCAGAGCTGGATTGAGGGATTTTATAATATTTACAATTGTTAGAAGTCAAGATATATTTATGGTCATACATTTTAAAACAGGAAATTAAAATGATGAAACATTTTTATTTATTTTTTCATAACGGCAATTACTATGGAAGAAAACAAAAAAAAATACAACTATATGAAATGATGTTCAAATGATTTTCGAAGGCTCAAAAAAAAAAAATCTATGTTGTGTGCTTACAACCACATGATAGAAGTGAAAATATCAACACGCCGTCATTAATAATATGAAATATAAATTATAAATAATAGCTTAATATAAATAGGAGCAAATGTTGAACATTTCCGTAGCTTATAGTACGCAGGTCCGATTTTTGCTTCCTGAGATATTTTAATCCATATCTTCCATAAAACATGTTAAAATTTGGTTTTGGACACTACCTTGGTCCCTCTCCTACTCTCTAACATTGTGTTGGGTTAAGATACAATTTTGAATAATAGCTTATTACAAAGAAAATGAGGTGGTGAACACTTACAGTGTACTGTTCCGATTTTTAGTATCTGAAATATTTTAATTCATATTTTCAACTAAACTCGTTATCACTTGGTTTTTTATAGTGTTTTTTCCTTATCCCCTCTCTAACACGGCATCGCTTAAGTATAATATTGAATTATAGGCTATTACAGAGAGGATGAAATGCTGAACAATTTCCTCGCTCACAGTATGCTGGCCCGATGTTTAGTTTCTGAGATATTTTAATTTATATCTATAAAGATTTCAATTAGTTGATTCTAGCCGACTTTAACCGTGCGTTAATACTTCAGAAATCTGACTGATAAATCTAATTCACTCTCCCCATAAAGGTGCAAAACGCGTCTAAAGAAACTTTCAGTTAAAAAAATAACACCTAAATATTATAACATAAATGCCATTATATTTGTTCTTGACACATGTTTATATTTAGTAGCTGTATTTGCATTCGAATTTAAAAAGTCTAATTTAAAAGTGTGACAATTCACACGACTTTCCTATCGATTTTAAACAAATTTTTACAACATTAAGTATATCATAAAATAAGGCTGTGTTTATTTCTTCACCATATATGGAGCAAAAAGCACATATGGATTTTAATAAATCCTTAAAAAAAAAAAATTGAATTTATAACTTGTCAGAGAAATGATACGAGTATGATTTCTTTAATCAACTAAAGTAATGTATGTGATGTGAACCATTATTAAAATCAGCTGATAAAATTCAATACACCGTAACTTAGCCAAAACTGGTCTGATTTAATTTTTTTTTTTAGTTTTGTCGGATATTTAATAACCTTCCACAAAAATTGGCTGAATTTTGTTCGGACTCAAGGGGCTCTGAAACTTAAAGATTCGTCGAAAACCGCACATCAAAAATTTGATCCATTTGCAATACTTAATTAAGTAGCTATAGGAATAAAATAAAACATGTGAAGAAAATAGAATATGCTATATCATTGCTATTATTGGTTCGATTCCAATATTTTTTTTTGTAGATAATTTAATTTTTAAAATATTCTATATAAATTGTACCATAGTCTATCTACCATAAACTTACCGACCCTCCTATATTTTTCACAGGTTACAATTTAAATACTCCATTGAATGCCGCCCTACTAGATCTCATACTTCCTACCACTATCCTCCTCACCGAACTGCTGCGTTTGACAAATCCTTTGCAATTCAAGTCATCTCCCTCTGGAGTTCCATACCTTCTGATATTTTTGCCAAGCACAATCAGTTTCCTCTTTTAAACTTTCACGATCCAACCGACTATGAATTATACCTAAGAGAACTACAAGTACAATTAAGTATCCTCAGGAACTATTCTTGTTTATTTATGTTATTTTAGTTTCCTAGGTTTTTTTCAATATATATATACACGCTTTCCTTTTAATCTCTCTTCCTAGTTTTTACTTTTAAATAACTATTATTGTAAATATTTTATTTTTATAAGATTTACAACTGTATTAAATTGAAAATATATCCAGTAAATGTGCACACAGTAATAATACAATCACAAGAAAACGCTTGTTGAGAAACTGCCTATTAGTAGCACTTTAATAATATATTTACATTAGATCACGAGGCCATCTTCTTTTCAGACGCCTTGGAGGTGTAAATATTTAATTTATTCATGACCACACAGACATGCATTCTGTACTTATAATTTGTTCTAAAGGGACAACAGTCCCAGAATAATAAAATATATTTTCATATCATTTCATAGACCTTCCAAGGCGTCTGAAAAGAAAATGGCCTCGGGATCTACTTATGTAAATATATTATTAGAGTGCTACCAATGGGTAGTTTCTCAACAAGCGTTTTCATGTGATTGTATTATTACCTTGTGCACATTTACTGGATGTATTTTTAATTTATACATTTGCAAATCTCATGAATAAATTAAAATAAAATAAAAAAATTCATAGATTCTATAATTTGCGAGTTAGGCCCTAAAACATTTTTTATACTTCAAAAATGAATTTTCTTGGGAATTCACTAAACGTTTAAAAATTGATAGGGTTTTAATTAGGAAATTAATGGAAAGGTTATGGAATCTTTAAATTGAAATTTATGAAATCTATACTAAACCACTATTTTCCAACGATTATTGAACACTATTTTTTATATTTTTACTTTCCCTAAATTTTAGTTTGGAATTCGTTTTTCTTAAAATTTTGGGTCAAGTAGGAAGGCCTAAATTTGGAAGATAGGTGTACAAAAGAAAATACGTACAGGTATCAGTTTTGAAAATAGAGAATGGAAATTGATACCTACAAGATCATTTTTTCAACAATTC